TTAATAGACTTGAACAAATGGCTGCAAGATTAAATTAATTGGTAAATAGCTTTCCACCAACAAGTACCAATTACCTTGATCAAAACAATTAACCAAATCTTGTCAAGGATCTAATGGTTCTTACTGTTTAATAAAGTTTTCATCAGAAATAACACTCACGCTATGCTTCATGGTTTCCTGTATTCTTTAACGTATTGCAATACAAAAGGTCATTTTACGACTGAGTGGTGATTGAGTTAATCTAAAGTTTAGTTGGTTTAATCATGAGAGCAAGGTCATTTCCCTAGGGAACAATGGAGTGGGATCAAGGGTACTTGATCCAAAATGAGAACTTTTGATTCAGAAACATTTTTTTTTATAAATTGGAGATACTGATGTTCTAGAATTAATATGCCTTCCTCTGAATAAATTATTCCACAAAATTAAGTTTAATAAAAAAAATCTCTTTAAAAACTGGTTAATTTTTAAAAGAGGAGCCAGCCTGGAAAAAATTTTGCATACCATATAAAATGTCATTTTTAAGTCTCTTTTGTGTTCAGGCCCAAGGTTATACTGTGAACAATAAAAAGGAACATGAGAACTTAGGCAGTGGTTGCACATGCCTTTACTCCCAGCACTTTGGAAGCAGAGGCAGGTGGATCTCTGTGACTTCAAGGCCAGCCTGGTCTATAAGAGCTAGTTCCAGGAGAAGATTTAAAGCTACAGAGAAATCCTGTCTTGAAAAACAAAACAAAACAAAAAACTAACAACAACAAAGAAAAAGGCACATCTAACCACTTAGGCAGATGGAGATTTACAGAGCAAAACTATCTTTTTGATCATGCATAATGATCAGAAATTCTAAAAGAACCAAGTCTAAGTTAGATTCTGGTGCTGTCAATCTTTAGTTCTTCTGGGTCATGAAGGGTGATGAAAAGATAAACTTATTATATCAGCCTTTTCCATCTCACTATTATTAATGACATGCTCATGAGGCTGAAGACTCAGCACTTAGAACACTGGATACTCATCCACAGGGCCTAACATTGATACTACGTATCCACAGCTGTCTGTAACTCCAGACAAAGAGCATTAGACACCATCTTTTGATCACCACTGGTACCTGGGTTTTGGGGCTATAAACCAAACTTGGGTACCAAGAGGTGTAGTACTTTGAGACAACTCTCCAGTTCCCACATATGTCATTATAATGCGGAAGGTGAAGGTGTCCCACTGTTCCTTCTGTCTCTTAGCACATAAATGCCCTCTAGATGGTTGTCAAATGATTCAACGGATTGAATGTGAATGGAATATCTATAATGCTTATGTTATTGTTATCACAGTTTTTCTTGTGTAAGTAAAGATAAGAAAAAGTTGGTTGAAATCAATCTGAGTCCAGCCAGATTTTGTTAGCAAAAAGTTACATAATTTTACATAGACTCTGTTAGAATTTCTGAGACAGGATACTTTCTCATAGCCATGGATGCCATGAATTTATTATGGGGAAGAAGCTGGCCACACTATGATCAGGCCCAACCACACTCTCATGTGCTTTATTTATAGCCATACACCTGTAAGTCCAGTTGAAATATGTGTTTTTAAAGGACGTATCATTGAATCAGAGAAAGAACAATAATAAAATAAAATTTAAAGTGGAGCATTACTGTTTTGATGAAGAGTAACGATTCTTGAAATTCTATACTTTAAATGGCCAAATCATTTCATATGTGTCATTCGCTTTGCATTGTTAATTCCATCTGTTTAAAAATATTGAAGTGTGACTGTGTGAATACATCTGTGCCATGATGTGTATGTAGCACTGACAGGAAAACCAGCAGGGGTCTATGACCTACTTCTGCTTTGTGAGTTCTAGTGATTAAACCTTTGGAGTTATTTGACTGCACATGACCTCAATGGCACTTCTTGTGAAGTGAATAAATATGAGAAAATTTGTAGAAGTATGGTGCATAACCCAGAGATAAAACCCAGTTCTGACTTAGCAGCAATGAACTTTACTAAATGAGGCAATTTTCTGGTGTATAATTTTGGTCCTAAGAAAGTGTTATAAATAAATGCATAGTCCTCAAAGTGAACAAATTTTCCTGTTGTAATATTTCTTCAAATTGAGTTTGAGCACCAATGTATTGGCTCAGGTGGAAAGGACTGTTGTGTGTAAGACTAGAAACTTATCCTCAATTTCTATAGAACATCAAGCTGTGGTATTAGATACACAGATGTTTGCTGATTCTCATACATTAGTACATCCATATCAGATAAATGAAAATCTTTGATACACACATGAATTATTTAATGTTTCTTATAATCTCTTTTATTAGTCATTTTAACATTTACATTGTTAAATTCCCTTGAAAACCCAGCACAGTGGAAGTTCATCATCTACCCTTGGACTTGTACTCAAGAGTAAGACAAACGAGCATCATGAGATCAAATGTATCCCTGAATCACTACTGACATCCAAGGTAAGACGAATAACAAATAACAAAATCTCAAGGGAATTTGTGAAAAGATGAAAATCAAAACCAGGAACACACACCACCACCCTATGTGTAAAGCATCATCAAAAATGGCCTGATATTTCAATAACCAATGGGAAAATTATATGATGGAGGTTCCATTATATACGTTACAGTAGAAAAATACCTATCACTAGGTACAGACAGAATAGAAGATAAACAAAAGTTATCGAAGAAATACAAGATCTACAAAATAAACTTCACTAAATGGATTTGAATACAGCACACTTTAGTGACTCCCTCAAATATTTTAAAATAGAAACCACAATACAATAATATCCATCAGACTTGACTGAATATGGTATGTAATTTACTTCCTTAAATGCTATGATGAAAAATAATTATTCTTGAAGGTAAAGAAATCTGTGATGCTTAATGTTATTAACAAAATTTTTTCATGAATAGGAATGTCTTCTTTATGAGTTTGTTCCTTTTTTTTTTTTGGTTTTTCAAGACAGGGTTTCTCTGTGGTTTTGGAGCCTGTCCTGGAACTAGCTCTTGTAGACCAGGCTGGTCTCGAACTCACAGAGATCCGCCTGCCTCTGCCTCCCGAGTGCTGGGATTAAAGGCGTGCGCCACCACCACCCGGCATGAGTTTGTTCCTATTGCAGACTGAAAAGTGACCCAAGTAGAATTTAAAACATTTATAGCACTAGAGCCATGGTGAGGTGACTAAGAAATGTTCACTCCCATGACTAAAATCAAATTTTTAACAGCTTTCTGTAAGTCTTGCTACAAGAAGTGTTAATTTTCTCAAGATACAGATTGCACATTCAAATAGACACACACACACACACAACACCCCATAATTACAATTAAAACAACTTTTTAATCAGTTTTTCACTCATGAACATATTTCTCCTGTAAGCATTCATTATACTAAATGAGGAGTTGGGGCATTTTACTGCTCACTTACAGAGTTTTTCTTCATGAATTGGTTCATGAAAGAGAAAGCATGTTTAAGCTTGAAGTAAGAGAAATTAGTCCTTCTAAATGGTGGTATCATTTGGGAAGATTTAGGACATGCTGTCCTGCTGAAGGAAATATGCCACTAAGTGTAGGCTATGAGAATTTACATCCGTACACCAGTTCCAATTCCATTCTCTGCTTCATGTGGGAGATTAAGGTCGTGAGTTCTTAAGCTCCTGCTTCAGGTGCCCTGTCTTACAATTTTTGTCATGGAACTTTCATGGTGATTCTCTTATCTTCTAGGACCAAGGGCCAAATAAAATGCATTTATAATTTGAAATAAAGATGATATCACAACAAAAGGAGTGAGTACACATCCTTAAATATTTATACCTGAATTACTTATGTCTTGCAATTGAAGAGAAGTATAAAATCTAATAGGGTTTCATTATGATTCAAATTCATAGTGCAAGAGGGAATGGTATCCTTACTGTCTGAAGTCAGGAAACACCTACAGTTGTGAAGAGAAGGGTGCCACACTAGTTGAGGCAATGATGTTCCTCTCTGAGAGAGAACCATCACAGCTGGGATCTGCTCCATTCTTCTAAGAGTTTCCCAGCAGAAATGTCTGTTACTGATCTGCTCCACTCCCCTAATAGAGTGTCCCATAAGAGGTGTCCATTGCTGCTGTGCTCCTCTGGGTTAAATGACTTTCCAAGTAGAAGTATCAATTATGTCTCAATTCAACTCCACTAGGGAGTTTCTGATCCATTCCAGTGCAAGAAGGTCTTCACAGAAATCGCAATCAAGAGATTTATTTGGGAGGGAAGAGAGTGACTGCCTCTGCCACGGTGGACAGGGGCAGCTGCCAATTGAATGAGCATATGGCACATACAGGGCTTCTTAAAACCAGATCTCTTCCAGGGAGATTTTGAAGGTGGAAACTGGTCAGATCTCAATCCCTGAGTTGAACAAGCTGAGACATGGGCTGGATTTTGTGCTCAGTTGAACAAGGGTAGAGTGTGTTTCTTTGGCTCTAGTTTGAGAGCCAAAGTGTTTTTCCTTCACTGGCTTTTAGCTCTGTCTTCAGGGTGAGGTTGTCTCTATTACTAGCTCTAGATTCAGGGACAAAGCGTTTTCCTTTGGATCTCATTTCAGTAATAGGGTGTGATTCTTTGACTGGCTCTTTCTCCTGCCCATAGGTCTTCATAAATAGCCTTTCACTGCAGTATAATTTTTGTCATGCTTTTGAAGACTACTTTTATTAAATTTAGTTTCCTTCCTTGATGGTTTATTTAATGTATTTGTAAATTTTTGTGACAAAGAATTTACCGCATAGATTCTATCCATGGTTTTTCTCTTATATGTGTACATTTATGCACTTGAAGATGAATAAGACATGAAAGGTTTTATCACACTGACTTCATTCATACTGTTTTTAAGCCTTTGAAGATTACTGTGATCGTCAAAGGCTTTACCACACTGAATACAGCCATGGGGTTTCTCTGTTCTTTTATGCATTTGAAGATCGCTGTGCTGTGCAAACCTCATACCACACTGATTACATTCAAAGAAGTTCTATCTATGGTGAGATCTTTTTTGCACTTTAAGATTACCAGAAGTTGCAAATGCCTTACCACACTCATTACATTCATATGGTTTCTCTTCAGTCTGTGTTCTTTTATGCACTTGAAAAGAACTGTTCACTGCAAAGGCCTTACCACACTGATTACATTCATAGGGCTTCTCTCCAGTATGTGTTCTTTTATGATGTTGAAGACCACTGTACTGTGCAAAGTCCTTCCCACACTGATTACATTCATAGTGTTTCTCTCCAGTATGTGATTTTTTATGGTCTTGAAGATTATTGTGAGTTGCAAAGGCCTTACCACACTGATTACACTCATATGGTTTTTCTCCAGTGTGTGTTCTTTTATGGCATTGAAGAGCACAATACTGTGAAAAAGCCTTACCACACTGATTACATCCGTAGGGTTTCTCTCCAGTATGTACTCTTTTATGCTTTTGAAGATTGCTATGAGTTGTAAAGGCCTTACCACACTGATCACAATCATATGGTTTCTCTCCACTATGTGATCTTTTATGCGTTTGGAGATTACTAGAAGATGCAAAGGTCTTACCACACTGATTACACTCATATGGTTTTTCTCCAGTGTGTGTTCTTTTATGGTATTGAAGAGCACCATTCTGTGCAAAGGCCTTACCACACTGATTACATCCATAGGGTTTCTCTCCAGTATGTGTTCTTTTATGATCTTGAAGATGACTCTGAGCTGCAAAGGCCTTACCACACTGATTACACTCATATGGTTTTTCTCCAGTGTGTGTTCTTTTATGGCATTGAAGAGCACAATACCGTGAAAAGGCCTTACCACACTGATTACATCCGTAGGGTTTCTCTCCAGTATGTATTCTTTTATGGGTTTGAAGATTACTATGAACTGAAAAGGCCTTACCACAGTGATTACATTTATAGGGTTTCTCTCCAGTATGTACTCTTTTATGCTTTTGAAGATTACTATGAGTTGTAAAGGCCTTACCACACTGATCACAATCATATGGTTTCTCTCCACTATGTGTTCTTTTATGCGTTTGGAGATTACTAGAAGATGCAAAGGTCTTACCACACTGATTACACTCATATGGTTTTTCTCCAGTGTGTGTTCTTTTATGGTATTGAAGAGCACCATTCTGTGCAAAGGCCTTACCACACTGATTACATCCATAGGATTTCTCTCCAGTATGTGTTCTTTTATGAATTTGAAGATGACTCTGAGCTGCAAAGGCCTTACCACACTGATTACATTTGTAGGGCTTCTCTCCAGTATGTGTTCTTTCATTCCCTTTTACGTGACTGTCATATGTCAAGAGTTTACCACATTGAATATATATTGAAAGTTTCTCTCCAGTTTGAATTTTTTCAATCCTGCAAGAATAATTGGCACATTTAAAAGCTATACCACATTTAATACACTGTTGTATGAATTAATTCATTTGTATGAATTAATTTTATAATATCCAATTATAAAGAGGAATCAGATACTAAGTTTTTTTTAAATATTTGTTTATTTATTATGTATACAATATTCTGTCTGTGTGTATGCCTGCAGGCCAGAAGAGGGCACCAGACCTCATTACAGATGGTTGTGAGCCACCACGTGGTTGCTGGGAATCGAACTCAGGACCTCTGGAAGAGCTGTCAGTGCTCTTAACCTCTGAGCCATCTCTCCAGCCCAGATACTAAGTTTTTATAGCTGTGTCTAAACTCATCTTTTGCTCTTTAATTAGGCACTGTTTTGCCACTTAGAAGATACCTCCAATGGTCAATTCCTTTCTTTTATGGCTTACCTTTTAACCTTCACAGAAACTTTTTTCTATATGATGTTTGATACATGTGTGAAGAGAACTGGAGAGCTTTAACATACATGAATTCTCCTTTACTGTGAATCATATTGCATATGCTATGTGAACTAGGACACCCAGAATTATTTGCACAGTTCTAGAACTCATAGAGCATTTTTACAGTCTGAGTTTATTCATGTATTAACAATGATGGTGGAAAACCAAGTATTTGTATACTTGACTCAAATTCTACAAATTTACTCAACTTGGGGACTACTGGTTATCTAATTGTTCTTAGAGAGTGGTATGCTATATCTGTCTATATCCATATGCTAATACACTTATATCAAGAATAACATATGGTATACATAGTAAAGAAGAATAACAAATAAAAGATTTCCACATTGAATTCTCAGCATTTTCTTGCTGTTCCTCACAGACTTGTGGTATAGATGTCAAGGTTTCTGCAGAACACCTGCCACTTGACTCAACTCTAACTGCTTCTCTCACTAAACTTAGCACAGTCACAAGAAGTGTACAAGGAATACAAGATTTACTATGGGCTATTGGTTTAGTACATAATTTTGCAGATATACTTATCATCTCTTCATATACATTTTGTATTATGAGTAGCAAGAAAGAAATTTATTTGCAGATCTACAACAAAGCTCTCATGCTACTATGCCTCACAAGGTGATATCTTTCTAGCCATTGCTTTCTTGACTTCTTTCTTAAAAGAATGTCATTCAAATGCAACTCACATATATGAAATATGGATTTGTAAAAATTTGATAACCATTAGTGCACTTAAAACTGTGCTTATCTATTTTGCTTTTGACCAAAACTTTCAGGACACAAAAGTTTCATCAGAGGCACATTGTTATCAGCTTGCACATGAAAATTACCTTTCAGTTCTTCTAGAAAATGGAGAGTGTTCTGTAGTATTATGGTCTTCCCAAATGCATCCTAAAATATAATACCAGAAAATGTATGTTATATTATTGAAAATTGTGCAGCAGTTAAAGTGTTATCTTAAGGGACCCTTAGAACTATGACTGCTTTATTCAACTCATTCTTATTATTTTTAAATCAAATTACAGAAGACCATCATTAACCAAGAAAAAGTTGCCCCCCCCTTTTTTTTCGAGACAGGGTTTCTCTGTGGCTTTGGAGCCTGTCCTGGAACTAGCTCTTGTAGACCAGGCTGGCCTTGAACTCACAGAGATCCACCTGCCTCTGCCTCCTGAGTGCTGGGATTAGAGGCGTGTGCCACCACTGCCCGGCTGCCCCCCTTATTTTGATTCATGAAGGAAATTTACTTTTACCTATAGTAGCAAGGTTCCTGTTGGTCTCCAGCATGACATCTTTGTAGAGATTCTTCTGGGACAGATCCAGCAAATCCCACTCTTCCTGAGTGAAGCTGATATGCACATCATCATAGGTCACTGCCGTCTAAAATATTTCATTCATGTGTATAATAGAAGCATGATGGTGACAATATTGTAAATGTATACTTCTTTGACAGTATAGTCATCAAATTCTGGCGTTCAACACTAATATTTCATGACACAGTCAGTCTTGAAGGAAACTGAATATGAGGGTCACCTCTGTCATTTCTGTACCCTTTGAATGGGATATCGCCTTACAGCCGAACTGTCTATTAATAGAGACAGCCAAGGAAACAGATCAATGGGACATTAGACTGAGAAAATTGTATAAAGAAATACTAATTACAAAGTAGAAAAACCCAGTGGACAAACTAGGTGTATTGACTCATGCCTTTAAGCACAGCACTCAGAAAGCACAGGTGTGTATATTTGTCTCTGAGTTGAATGCCAGCCAAAATATAAAAACAGTCCATGACAGGTGGAAGTACACATTAAGCCCCAGTCTCCATAGCAAAAATCAGTGAAACAAACAAAGCAGATCGAAAAAAATTCAGAGCTGTTTACTGAAGTTCCTACAGAGAATTATGCATTCACTCCAGTTCTGTGTTCATCTTCCAGACAGCTGAAGTGTCCTATTTTATACTACAATCCCAAAAACATTTTATAAAAAGGTACTTTATGTTTAAAATAATTACAAATGGACAGAAAAAAAACATTAGCAATATAAATGTTGGTCATAACAAATTAACACAGGTCTGGAAATATGGCTGAGTACTACTGAGGCCTTCCTAGTCTTGAAAAGAGGTGGGCACAAATGCCAGTACTTACATGGGGATCACAACTATTTATTATTCTAAGTTCAGGATTTCTGAGAAGCTTTGATCACTCTGATGACCAAGTGCCCATATGGTATATATCCATGCAGACCCATAAAATAGGCAAATTGAGTGAAAAATTAAAAGCAAGCTAATCAAGCAGAAAGAAGTTCATGCACCTGCAATTCAATGACTCAGATTGCAGCCGGGCGGTGGTGGCGCATGCCTTTAATCCCAGCACTTGGGAGGCAGAGGCAGGTGGATCTCTGTGAGTTCGAGACCAGCCTGGTCTACAAGAGCTAGTTCCAGGACAGGCTCCAAAGCCACAGAGAAACCCTGTCTTGAAAAACCAAAAAAAAAAAAAAAAAGACTCAGATTGCTCAGGTAGTATTAATGTCATGAATAAATGGCCTCCTGGGAATCAGAATGAATCCCTCTGTCAAATTTAAAATTCAAGATATGTGTGAAGCTGCATATGCTTGATATGTTAAAAGCCTACATTCAGGGTCATCATCCAACAACATAAAAACAAAGCCATGAATGAAGCCCCCCTCACTTTACTTTGAGGAATTTGGAGCCACACATCAAAGGTTACTCAGACAAGCAAACAAAACAATTAAAACTAAAGGCTACAAAACACCTTTGCCCTGAACAGCAACTGTTTCTTCTATATTTTCTGTGATTTACAGATCAAGCCTATAACGATGATAAAAGCATTTCAGTGTAAGTGGGAAGTTGGCTGAATAATTCCAACCACAACACAGTAGACATAAAAGTCAGAAAATTAGTTAACGATATTGAGACTCATCACATACAATGAGGAATTTCATCTTGAAAGCCTTTTTTACTGAAGGTTCATAGGAAATTGAAAGGCCACCAAGGAGAGAAACATGATCTTTTCTGGGAGGTTGTTCAGTCAGTGAACTGCACAGACTGGACAAAGAGAGCGACCCAGGAGAGCAGACCAAAAGAGCAGGCCAAGAGGGAGGGCAAAGATAGTCTTTAGGGGTGTTGCTCTCTCAAACACAGAGTAGGCCAAAAACAGGTCTCAAAAACAAAAACAGCTACTTTAAGGATTGGGCCAAGAGGTGAAGACACTGCTGGTACCAACTGAAGGATGAGATGGGTAGGTGCCAATGCAAGATTTCATCCAACAACATAGAAAGCAACATGGTAACACCAGAACCCAGTGGTCATACAACAAGAAGATTCGATCATCCTAACCCAGAAGAAGTAAAAGAAAATGATTTTCAATGTAACTTTGTGAGTATGATGAGGAAATTAAAATTCCCTTAAAGAAATTGATGAAAACACAAACTAAAACTTGGATGACATCAATAAATCTATCAAAGAAACCCAAGAAACCAAGAAAAAAAAACCAATAAACCAGGTGAAGCGAACAACTTAAGACTTGAAGACTGGGGTGGGCAGTGGTGGTGCACATGCCTTTAATCCCAGCACTTGGGAGGTATAGGTACGTGGATCTCTGTGAGTTCAAGTACAGCCTGGTCTTCAAGAGCTAGTTCTAGGACAGGCTTCAGTACTACAGAGAAACCCTGTCTTAAAAAATCAAAAAAAAAAAAAGACTTGAAGACTGAAAGAGAGGCAATAAAGAAAACACAAATGAAGGGAATTCTGTATATGGAAAATCTGGTTAAACAAATGGGAAGTATAGCAGGAAGTGTAACCAACATAATACAAGAGATAGAAGAGAGAATCTCAGGTGCTGAAGATACTATATAGGAAATAGATTTATTGGTCAAGGAAAACAATAACTCCAACAAATTCCTTACACAAAATATCCTGGATATCTGGGACACCATGAAAAAATCCAAATCTAAGAATAATAGGGATAGAAGAAAGAGAAGAACACCAACTCAAAGGCACAGAAAATATATTCAACAAAAAAAAATATCATAGAAGAAAACTTTTCCAACCCAAAGAAGGATATAGTTATGAAGGTACAAGAATGAAAGTACCATCAATGGAGAAAACAAGGTATTCCATGACAAAACCAGATTTAAACAATACTTGTCCACACAAATCCAGTCATGCAGAAAGTACTAGAGGGGAAACTCCAACCCAAGGAAGCTAACTGTAAACACAGAAAACAAATAACCTGACATCTGCAAACACCAAAGAAGAGAAACACACAAACACTACTACTGAAACAAAACAGGAACCAGCAATCACTGATCATTTATATCTCTTACTATCAACAGACCCAATTTGCCTATAAAAAGGCACAAGCTTAGAGAATGAATCCAAAAGCAGGATCCATCCTTTTGCTTTATAAAAGAAACAAACCTAAACCTCAAAGACAAACACTGCCTAAGAGTAAAGTGTTGGGAAAAGGTTTTCAAATCACATGGACCTAAGCAACACACTAAGATAGGTATCCTAGACATGCACGGTTCAGGGTTTAGTAGTATATTTCATGTTTCATACAGATAATCCATATTCAAAATGACAAGACATTTTCTCTTTGAACTATTTGGTATTCCCTGTTAACTTACACTGCAAACCTAAAAATGTGGGAAGCATGACTGGAGAGGCCTAATTTTTATAAACAAATAATAGTTATAAAAATGCAAAGCTAGCTGGGCGATGGTGGTGCACGCCTTTAATCCCAGCACTCAGGAGGCAGAGGCAGGTGGGTCTCTGTGAGTTCAAGGCCAGCCTGGTCTACAAAGGGAGTTCCAGGACAGGCTCCAAAGCTACAGAGAAACCCTGTGTCGAAAAACCAAAAAAAAAAAAAAAAACCCTGTCTCGAAAAACCAAAAAAATAAAAATGCAAAGCTGCTGCTACATGCAGCCTTGTTGAATCAGTATATCATTCCTGTGGCAATTTCTGTCTCATTATATTGTGAATAAAATTGTTCTATAGAAATTAAATGATTTAAAACTCATATGAAATGTTTAATGCTTTCAGCCTGCTTTATGGCTGGTTTTGTTATTTGATGTGCTTATTTGGAAACTTAATTCACATTCAAGCAGTCTATAGATAACTACAGCCCAGTTAAGTATTTTGTAATTTCAGGCTGCTATGCCATGCTTGGGATGTGGTTTGAAAGAAAGAAAAAAAATACACGTAACATATTTCACATTTCTGAACCTTCATCTTCTAAGTAAATCATTGGAATATTTGGTGAGGAGGGAATGAAACTGTTTCTTGTACTCACATGCCAAGGACACACTTGTGATTAAAGTAGGTTGATATTGTGGTGTAAAGGATGGTTGTCACCAACTCATTTCTTTATGATCTCTAATGAAAAATACATTTTGTATACAGTTAATTCTGTAAACAGATGCAGGTTCATAATATCTATTATGGTCTTGTAATCTAGTATATTTTAGATATTTTACTTTTTCCCTCTTGGGAAATACATTTAGTATAGTGTAGAAAAATACTTCATGACATTTTCATATAGGGTTAGATAACTTTTCATACATAAACAGAAATTTGCTGTAGAAAATTCTTTAAATGAAACATTTAATCTAGGATGTCATTTTAATCTGTTCCTTGAATCTATTTTTATGTGGCTCTTGAGAATATATCCCAAGAAATCCATTGTACTAAAAATAATTTGAGTACTGACAAACTTCTTGGAGTACGTACATATAAAATCACAAAACTTGTATTCATTCTCTTCTGTGATATGTTGTTCTATAATCCAGAATGGCTTTTGCACCATTTTTTAAATCAGTTTTCCCCTTTGATGTTGGTACCATAGTTGCTATAAATGACTGCTGCTTTAGGGGTTAAATATTTTGGGTTTTTTGTTTTGTTTTGTTTTGTTTTTTGTTTTTCGAGACAGGGTTTCTCTGTGGTTTTGGAGCCTGTCCTGGAACCAGCTTTTGTAGACCAGGCTGGTCTCGAACTCACAGACAGACACCTGCCTCTGCCTCCCGAGTGCTGGGATTAAAGGTGTGTGCCACCACCCCCCAGCAGGGTTAAATATTTTGTTAGTGGAGATAGAACCAATACACTAAATTATGATAAAACTTTCTGACTGGATAATAGGTAAATATAGTTGGGCTAAATTCAAAATTATTCTATTACCAAAACCATATCATTTGTTTTACTGGAAAAAAAAGGAAAATGGCTTGTTTTTACTACTGGGTCATGTTTTGTGTAGTAAAGAAAAAATTCTTTGGTCAATATTGTTATCTTTGTATTTCAATGTTAAGGTTTCCTCATGCGTATTATAGTAAATCAATGATTTTCAAAAAAAGA